TTTTTTTTTTTTTTTTTTTTTCTTTTTTTTTTTTTTCTATCAGAACGAAGCACCGGTCTGACACATTACTACCAATTAGTGGCAAGAGTACATTGACACTGTCCCTCCTCCGTCTCAACGAGCTTGTATCTGGCCAAATTCTCATCGATGGACAAGATATCTCCTTGATGACCCGTTCATCAATCCGACAACGCATTAGCTGTCTTAGTCAAGAGCCTTTCATTTTCCCTGGTACCGTCAGGGAAAATGCCGATCCACAGGGCAAAGTTTCGAGCACGCAGATTGTTGATGCCCTGCAATCTGTGGGGGTCTGGACCAGCCTTGCAGCAAGCCACAGTAGCACCGATGAAGAGGTGCTGGATTCAAGGCTAGATGAAAGCGTTCTATCCCAGGGTCAAAAGCAGCTTTTCTGTCTGGCCAGAGCTCTGCTGAAGAGGAGCAAAATCTTGATTTTGGATGAGCCAACGAGCAGGTACGTTCACAAGTTATTTCGCCCGATTTCTCATTCCATCCATTGCTTGAACGCTGACGAGGGGGCCATGTAGCCTGGATCGTGAAACGGATGCCAAAGTGCAGAATGTCATACGGGAGTTGTTCAATGGCTGCACGATAATCATGGTGGCGCATAGAATCCGCACATTGCTTGATTTCGATCAAGTTGCTGTTCTGAACAGTGGTCAGATCGTGGAGGTGGGACATCCTCGTGATTTACTCAATAATCCCAACGGGGAGTTTTCGAAGCTGTTGAATCTCGAGTCGTGACATTCAAGGCTCTAGGGCATTGCTTATTCACATTCAAAAGCTGTCGGACGCCCCTTATGAGATTTCCCATTATTCACCCTTGCCGGGCTCTCTAATATCAAGAAGCATTTCTTCTCTCTACTCCATGATACTGTCTACTACATCCAGCGAGTGGTCTCCAGGCTCTTCAACGATCCAAGACGGACCTCTACATCAACAGTGCCTATGCTCTGGGCCCCATAAGAAGGCCCCCGCAGCAATAGGAAGTGAGATCAAATGCCATCTGAGAATGAACAAGCAGACTGCCTGTGATGAAGTCTTCCCTATTCAGTCAACTAGATATCAACTAGATACCATGGAAGAGGGAGCTCATCTAAGGAGCCCGACTCGTCATACAAGAACTTAAGAGTTAGATCTCAGGTTGTATCTTGGTCCCTCTAGGTAGTTGAGGGGGGCATGTTAGAGTCTATACAACGCCTCCGTGGGGATACAAGCAGGTGGATAGACCATTCTACTGGAGAGGTCAAACTCATCATCCTTATCTGGATCCGCCCTAGTCGCAAGACAATCAATATTGAGACTTGGGTTCTAGAACAAACACTTCTCCACCCACCCAGGGCCACATACCCGCGGCGTGTGGCGCTTACCTGCTTCTTTGGGCCAGCAAAGCAGGCAATGAGGTTGCGATTGATTTTTCAGTCAATCCAACCATTTTATCAAGGCCCCCTGCCCTTTTTTCCAATATAGTTGGCTTGTTGGCGGTCCTCCAGTGCCCCCCTCGCGAAGGTGATGTAGTGCTCTCCCAGATAGACCTTGTGGGTTTGGCCAGGGACATATGGCATGGCATTATTTAAGCGACAAGAAGTTTGAGCCGTCGGCGAATCTGCCATTGGTGACCCTGAGATTGTCGAACCTTATGTTGTTGTACATAAAAGTTAGAGCTGCACTCAATACCCTCTCTTGCTTTAAATTTAGCACATACGACCATAGGGTGTGGAAAACAGGGCTTCCCGTCCGCTCAGCCGTACTTAAGCCACACGCCGGCCGGTTAGTAGTTGGGTGGGTGACCACCAGCGAATCCCGGCTGTTGTATGTTTTTGCCTTAAAGATTTTTGTGACTTGTTGAGACTGTCCAAGCCCTTTTACTCTTCTGTCCCTGAGGGTCCCCTAAAGCACTGGCATGGCCTCTCGGCTGAACCTTTCCTCTCTCCTACCCCCTTCCCGCTGGCATCTTTGCCATTTTTGGTGACGTGGACTGATCGCGCGTACAAGAAAGGACTCATTCAAGCGCCTGGAATATTGTAAGTACCATATGTTATATATTTTCATGAGATGGTGGTGTTAATGGTACCGTTGTTTTTGGTGTATCAGAGGAAGCGTAGTATGAGTTATAGAGTATCAATGATGTACGGCTAACCAGCTCAGACCTTCCAGCAAGCGAGGCTAGGCGAGGTATACATTTCTAAGTCAGTGCCAAGACAAGCTTTCCTAGCTAGAATATGCGAATTCGATAGCACCGCTGTTGTTGGCAACGGACGCCTCAATATTTGCCATGTCACGAAGCAGGGGTTCCCTGCCATCCTGGCCGTAGAGCCCAATGGAAACGATTCCCTGTCCTCCCCCTCCATTCCATCTGTCTGATTGAATATGACTGGCCCGATTTACATCGTACAACAGCATCACTCAGCACCTTTCCCTTACGGCCACTTAAAGTGGCTTCTCCACCGGCTTATTTGCTCCATGTCCTGGGTCTCACAAGGACATAATGCCTCAAAATTCATTAAGACTCAGCGAGTCCAAGCGCGCATTCCTCTCGGCTGCTTTGATTATTACTAATGTTGCACAATGACCCGTAAACCGCACATTGCAGCGGTGTGTTGTGCAGAGAATATTGCTCTCAATTACCTTCTCCATGAAGTTCCTGAACCACCGCAACAAAAGCCCATCAAATTCTTTCGAGGTTTCGAAAAGGGGTTCATACTTCCGTTTTCTAAAGAAAGGGATCTAGTGGATATCCTTTCCTTTCTTGCCAAAACTACAGATAAGTCGGATTATATTCCTGCCGTGTGTATTGAGCAGGACCCCAATGGTGCAGCGCTGAAGGCTCTCCTGGCGATCAATAAGAGAACATATACAGATGGAAATCCGCAACTTCAATCTCTGAAAGTGGGGTTTGAGAACATCTTCAACATACTTCGAAGATCCTTATATGGTTCGTTGATCTCCTGCATTCGGCATAGCTACTGATTTGAGTGTGGCCAGAGAGAGGCACTTCTACGGAGATCACGAAGCAACTTCTAGAGACGATAGTGGAAATGTGCTCTTTTCGAATTACTTGTCGATTGCGGCTCACTGGCAAAAAATTGAAGGAAAATAAAGCGTCCATCAAGGACATTCTGCGAAAGGCGATGGAGGGTGCTCAACAAATAAATCCCCAGAAGCTCCACCAGTCCAACCTAGGAGAAAGCTTGTTGTCATTCCGAGAGAAGTCCAAGAGAGTGATCCAGGCCGTCAACGAGTGGTCCAATCATCGTATCCCGTCTCGTGTCAATGACATTGTGGAAAAGATGTACCAATTGAGCAACGTACATGGCCTGCAGCAACTCCTTCATCTGATACCTTCTGGTTCCACAAGAGTGATCAAAGAGTCGGCCTTTGCAGCTACGCTACTCAACATTATTCAAAAAGTATCCAGATATAAAGAAGCCGCTCGTGCCCTCCATCGTATTGCCAAGAAGTTCCCTATTGTCCGAAACATCGAGATTCATCTGGCAACCCTGCCCGAAGAGGCTTTCGATCAACCACATGACCCGGCATATTCGCCCAGTCTTCCAGCCGTGCTCGCTCAGTTAGGGAAGATCAATGGCAAACAGTACAATGTCTCTCAGATTTCTCGATTCATAAAATGTGGGAAGAATAAGGATCCGATTGACCTTTTCTCCCAGAAAACGAGCAGAACTCTTCAAGAGGCCAAGATACATGCGGAGATCCAGCTCATCGCCTACTGCGAACTTCAATCGCCTCCGCTGTTCCCCCGGGCCATCAGTTCCAGCAAGGATGCTTGTTTTCTACGCAATGCATTTATTCAAAGTCATGGCAAGATGCACACGTCACGCACGCATGGGAGGCTGTACCCTGATTGGCGACTGCCAATGCTTGTGTCGTTCAAGACGCTAGAGCATCGATTCAATGAAGTCCTCCTGGACCACGCTCGGCGGACCATCAAAGCTCGAGCTAACGGTCAAATGGGTGCTCATCCATACCCGAATGAAAGTACATTATTTCCTATATTGGTCTCGGCGTCAACAATAAGCTCTGTGCAGGATGCAGTCGATATCACCCTGGACAGAACGATTTCTGTTACCAGTGTCTATCCAGGCTCCGAAATCGTGGACACTGCGGTCACAGCTGCAGATTCACTGGAGAGAAAGAAGCTGAGTAGCTGTGTTCTAGCGCCCAGTGACATGTTTACCGGCGTCATCTTCCCGACGGCCTCATCTCCGTTATTCCAAGCTGGCTCTCTACATGTTCACCTTGAGATGGAAGAGAGTTCGACGTCCGAATCCTCAGCGAAGTGTCTTTTCTACTCCATTGAAAGAACGACCGTCAACCACGCAACCAAAATGCCTGTCGAGCCTCTAATGGTGGACGTTGTAGAACTAGAGAGGGAGATGACATATCCACTACCGGCGAACGGGACGTTCTGCCTCACAGCTCACGATATTGCAGTGAAAGTCGTGTGTAAACGATGAAAAGACTATTTTCGCCGGGGCGGATATTTCCATAACAGACTCCAGCGTCGAGATAGTAATACGCTTCTAAGTCACTGTGGCTGTCAAAATTTCGACCCTCGCCCATGAGTGCAAAATTAAGAGCTTACCTGTAAAAAGTGACAAAACCGGATAGTTTGAGAAGATTTTGGCAGTCGCATTGACCTCTTGAAAGCCAATACAGGTCAAACATTAGTCGCCTGTGTTGGATATCTCAAAGTTGTCTCCCGAGGCTGTGATACTACTCCGTGAAACAGTGCCAGGCCAGTGAGCCGTTTGTGCTGTTCACCGATCTAAACTGATAAGACCTGAGATGGAGATTATTTGACCTTATTGAACTATAGTCTCACTAAAGCCTATGATAAAGGATGAAGAGGTCGTGTAAATAATAGATTATTAGAAACAGATAGTTTAAAGGGAATGAGCCATCGACATCTGGTTGCTCTCTGTCCCCGGGGAGAGCCACATTCAATAAAGAACTTTGCTTACTGGTAGATACCATACTTTTAATGCGCCACTGTATGTACATATAAAGATAAGATATCTACTATCCGTGTCTTAGCAGCACACCCACACCGCAGAAGCAGTGTGGGTGTGCCCGACAGATACGGGGGATGGTGGTGCAAACAGTCAAACCATATAAGTGGTAAGCAGTCTAGCAGGGCAGAAAGTTCATGGTATTAAGTAATCACATTCACCCTTCTCAGTGTTAAAGAGAGGGTTCTCTTCTCCAATAAGTTTACAAACCTTGTTACATGATATAACATTATAAGGCCCCAAAATCCAAGATCAATTATGATAATGTTAATTTCCTCTTCACCGTTATGCTGTAAGCGCAATGCGTGGTTGCACGCTCGATTATAACATCTGCTTATTTGACAGGCGCCAACAAGGACTTTGGGCGAAATACTCTTCGCCAGCCAGCAATGCTACGAAGAAGCCAATCAACGAGCCTCCACATTGAAACAGTTATGTTTGCCCGCTTAACGCTTGCGGACTTCGATTCTCTAGTTCGAGGCTTCTCTCAAGTCACTACAGAAAGGCCCATTTGATTTCCTAGGAAGAGGTGTACGGACTGGGAAGGTAGATGTGGACTCTAAGGACTCCTGCGCATCGGACCAAAAATAACTCTTCCAGTCGGTTGACAGAGGAACTGGCACAGCCTTTGGAGTATTCTAGCGAGCGGAGAAATACGTGAAGTGCGGAGCTAAAGAGAAGCAACTTCAAAAGCTGAAATTTTATACTAGGCAGCTGGCTACTGCAGGGGGTTTTTAACACTCAGGAAGACCAAGAGATTTTAGCGCGAGAACCAGGTCCATAGAATCAAGAATCTACACCTATAGATCCAGAGCTTTCTACACATGGACCACATGTACCGGGGCCACTACCTGTTCTAGTTGCTATGTTCGCGAACATACTAGAGTTAGATGTCGTAACCCACCTAGTAATTATCTCATATAGAAATGCAGGTTTTCGGTTGAGAAAGGTGACAGAATTTCACTCAAGGGTGGACAGGCGCGGAGGTGACCCGTTCATTCCATGGGAACTCAAATTCTAGATCTAACTCTATTAACTTTAAAGTGCGTCTAGTTGGCTCTTCACCATGCATTCCACTAACAGGCCATACGCAGTAAGCGAAGATAAACCATGGGATCTATGGAATGTGTAATACATGAATTGCTGCAAGCGGATAGCTGTGATAAACTATTTCTGCACTGTGGATGCTCGCTATTACCCTACTTAGCCACATAGACAGCACTAAGTGGAGAGGAGGGGGGAGAGAATCATGCCACACATATGTACATATTGTGATGTTAATATGATGTGCCACATCTATTGCCTATGGTGCGCATCACCAGATGACCTTAGACTACCTGGTGGCTGAGAGTATAGTGTAAGTGGGAATAATAAGGATTAAAAAAGGTGGGTTGAAACTATTGCAGTATTCGTTCTCTAAAAACTCATCTTAAGCCATCATTACTGGTGAAGAAATGAATTCTTTGCAATCGAATACTAATTGTGGATGTTCCCATCAAAGGTCCAGCCAGCTTCGGATGTGTCGACTTTCCTAGAATAAGTCTATCATCTGGAATCTTAGCAGCGAGACCAGAAATGGGCTGAGTTTAAGAGACAAATAAAATTCTTAAGGGCAATGAACATGTCATACCTAATGTAAGAGGACGTTTCCTGAACTCATAGTAACACAATGGCGTGACTATGTCTAGGCCGGCCTTTCATAGCCTCAGGACCTGAAGTTACTTTGAGACTATGAAACGTCTTTTGCCTCAGTAATGGGTTTTAAGTGCTCCACATGTTGACTTTATTCCGTCATACCCTCGTAATTATCCTAGGAATGATGGCTATATGAAGGATATTAAGTCCGCGCCGCTTCCACAAGTTGTCTGAAAAAACATATCTCAATCCTCTAAGAAACGAACCTATTTTCAAAATGCCAAAGACAATCCTTGTTGCCGGAAACATTAGCTTCAATGGGCTTATATACCCGCACTCGGGGGACCCTCACGCAAATCGATATTTTAAAGTACTTGAAGGTGGTGCAGCATATCTTACTCGGCTGCTTGAGCAGGAAGAATTACATCTACGCGTTGAGGGGCCAAATATCTGTGATGCCCAAGTACAAGAAAAACAGAGCCCCAGAAGTTCGGGAGCGAGCATCATATCTGCAGCAATCGAAGGTGTTTCAGGTGTGGTTTCAGGTGTTACGAAGTTTATAAAGCCAGGAGAGAATCCCCTACCTGGGAGTCTCCGCCAACAGAGTATAGAGCCAGGAGAGAATCCCCTACCTGGGACTCACCAACAAGATATGGGGCCAGTAGAGAGTCCCTCACCTAGGTCCCTGTCCCAACAAGATGGAGAGCCAGGACCGGATCTCATACCTGGGAGCCGCCGCCAGCAAGATACAGACACAGAAGAGAGTCCCCCGCCTGGGACTTGCCCCCAACGAGATACAGGGCCAGGACAGGGCTTCTTACCTAAGACTCACACCCAAACAGATGCACAACAAGGGGATCGGAAACACTCTGTGGCCTCTACGCTGTCAGACCTTGTGAACGTAGCGAAGTCGAGCCACTCATCTGGTGATGATTTAGTAAATGCGATTCTCGACTTGGCTCCTCGCAAATCCAAATCTGGGACCATTGAAAACTACAAAGTGGAGCAGCGGCTTGATCTGGATTCAAAACCCAGTTGGCATTCACCTTTGAGTCGTTCAGCAGATATGCTGGTCATTGAAGGCCCTATTTCAAGTGAAAAGAATATCGCCAAATGCTGCAATTGGCTTCAGAATGCCAGTGGCGAAAAAGTGATATACAAAATGACTCGGCCACTTGCCACAGGCTCAATTTGGGACTATATTCGGCGCCACAATTTTGGCACTGACCGTTGTCGAAACCAACTTGCTGTTATAGTTGATGCCGACGATCTCCGCGCAGAGGGCCTGGATATAAGCCGCCATTTGTCATGGGAAAGCACTGCTGAAACATTTGTGAAGCATGCCTCATCTATACCGCGGCTCAAGTCTCTCATTACCTGTCCGCATTTAGTCATCCTTTTAGGTTGTGATGGCGTAATTTATTGCAGACGGGGCAAAAAGCGTATGCTGTTTTTCGACCCTAAGCTTGCAGAAGGTGATTTTGCCTTGGCTCACTCTAGGGGTATGGTTGATGTTACAGGAGCCTTCACGGCAGGCCTTGTATTAGCTCTCTCTAAAGGCAGAGATTTTCACACCGCATTACCTGGAGCTATAAGACAAGGGTTGACAAGCGCTCGTTGTCTTGTGGCTGAGGGATTCTGCGTTGGGGAGCACCAAACCCCGGATTATCCGGTCACTCAAGTGATGGATGAGGGAAAACAAGAAGCTAATAAAATAAGCTCTGTCCTCATTCCAGTTGAAGAAAAACATAAGCCTAGGCCGTGGTCAATATTTCTCAACATAATGGGTGATTCCACGGAAGTTGCTCGGTTCATTGTCCAAAATGGACCAGATAATGTACTGAGCAAGGTTCAGACAGCACGTTTCGGTAGATTAATGACGGCCGACAGGTTTGAGATAGAAGGCTTTCGTTCGATCACAAATCTTGTCGAAGAATATCTGAGAGGAAGCAAAACTCAGCCTCTCTCTATTGGCGTATTCGGACGCCCAGGCTCCGGAAAGTCATTCGCAGTGACTGAAGTGATCAAGGAAGCATCTCATATGGCTCCAATAGAGAAAGTGGTTTTTAATGTCTCCCAATTTAATCAGTATTCTGATTTGCTATCTGCATTTCAGTCAATCAGGGATGTGTCACTCTCTGGAGCAATTCCAATGGCTTTGTTTGATGAGTTTGATGCTTCTTTTGTTTCTACAAAACTTGGCTGGCTGCGCTACTTCCTGGCGCCAATGCAAGACGGCAAGTTCTCTGACCACGGTCAGATGCACCGACTCGGTCGTTCCATTTTCGTCTTTATCGGAGGCACTTCCCCAACCCTTGAGGATTTTGTGAAATCAAGCAGATCTCTGAGCGTACAAGGAGAGCACAAGAACAATGACGGGAAAGGGGATTTGGAGCCTCAAGAGTTTCACTCACCGCATGGTAGAAAAAAAGAAGATTTCGTTGCTGTCAAAGGGCCTGATTTTGTGAGTCGACTGCGAGGATACGTCAACATCCAAGGGCCAGACAAGATTGATGATAATGATCGAATGTACTCCATAAGACGTGCGATTCTACTCCGGGCGCTATTGGAGGAGCGCATGCACATGTCCAACAATCACCTTGAAGTGGATGACTCTGTTCTCTCAGGGCTCCTTAAGGTCCCCAAGTTTGTCCATGGCTCTAGGTCTTTGGAAGCAATACTTGCCATGAGCAGAGTGTCAGGATGTAGGGTGTTTGAACGTGCAGCGTTACCATCAGAAACACAACTCAGCTTGCATGTCGATGCAACAGAATTTATGAAACTCTTACAAGAAACAGAAGGTTTGGAGGGCAACTTAAAGGAGAAGATCTCAGATGCAATTGGGGAAAAACTGGTATCACTTGTGGGGCAGAATGCCTCAGATGCTGAGAAATCAATCTTGGATTCGTATGATCCCAACTCTGCAGCAGATGATATCCCTCATAAGCTACGTTCTATCAGCTGCTACATGGCACCGAAACCACCCAAGTCCACAGAGCCGCGACTGTCAAACACCCAATTACTGGCTTCAGAAGATGGAGTTGATGGACTAATTCGGCTTGGTGTCAAGGAAAGGGATATTGAGGAACTAGCCAAGCTAGATTATGAACGCTATGTTACGGAAAACTTGAACAATTACCAGGAAGGAAGAAACACAACTAATATCATCGATGCGCCGAATACATGGGACACCAGACACGAGAATACAAAAATGATATTTAGGAAGTTGGTCTCATCTATTCCAGAAGTTCTGAGAAAGTGCAATCATTGGGTCTATCGTCTCGAGGAAGGGGCGCCCATATCATCTAACATCGCGCCCAGTCATTCCACAAACCTGCAACATCTCATATAACACAACGATGTCAATGTTGCCAATAGCCTAATATGCTTCCTTTTATTAACTGACAGTTTGAAGAAAGCTATATTTAATGAACTTAGATTAATAACATACATGCCTAATATACCAACTAGGTAATTAGAGTCTATAATAAAGATATCTATAATCTTAGCCTTGCTGCTATGTAGAAAATAAAGATAATATTATAAAGAAATAATATTTAGAATAATTACTATATAGTAATTAGATCTATACTCTTATAGTTAGAGAGTAATTAGGTACAACCCTAATTAATATAAGTTTAATGAGATATATTATATATCTAGAACTTTAAGAATACTTTTATATTACTATAACTAATATATAAAGATTCTTCTAGAACTATAGAGTCTACAGTAGTAGCTAAAGATTGAGATGCTACTATATAATAATAGATGTTATAAGATTTAACCTAGATAGGACTACTAGTAGAGCAGTAGTTTACTATAGATCTAGCCTATATATCTTAAAAATAATATAACTTTTATATTCTGGTCTACTGGATTACATAGGCTAAATCCTATTTAGTTTAATTTTATAGAAGTATAGTATATACTAACTTAGTTTATAATTTATTATAGTGCCTATAAAATAGACCCTTTTTAGTCTTACTTCCTAATTACAGAGTAAGTATACATTCAAGAGCCTATATTAATATAATAATATTATTAATTCTCTTATCCTAGGATACTAGCTTAATATATAAACTTTGTGCTAGGTAATACAAATTCAAAGCTCTATGCTACTATAATTTATGGCTGAATCAAAACTTCTGTTTACAGTGCCACTCCATCAACACTAAACTTATAGCATTCCCCAGACTGTCTTTGACTCTCATTGCCACTGGGGACTACTAATTCTATTAGTCTAGTCCTGTATTACCAGTGAGATCACTCCATACAGACAAGGAAGTTTGAGCTGTTAGGGAATCTGCTATTAGTGACCCTAGGATTATTGAACCATATATTATTATACATTAAAGCTATACTTAATACCTTCTCTTTCTTTAAATCTAGCACATACAACCATAGGGTGTGGAAAACAGGGCTTCCCGTCCACTCAGCTGTACTTAAGCCATATATTGAATGTGGTTAATTCTTAAAAAGCCTTCCTCCCCTGAAAAGGCAACCTTATGATTTTAGTGTGGGTGCTTTTTTGGGGGGGGGGGGACTACACAGTAGTTCAACCTCTGGTAAAATGCCATGAATGACCACCAGTCAAAAGCATATCTGCTAGTTATTTCACGCCTTAGACCAACTTGGCCATCCCATCTTGCCTTGCTAATGTTACAAAAGCCAATCATCTAATTAGAAGAGCTAACTGTCTACCTATTACGAAAGCCTGAGGGTGCACTACTTCCTCGCACACAGACTCTTGACAATCTTTTGCACCAAAGCATCCTGATCCCTAAATCGCTGTGGAAACTTGGCCAAATCGCTCGCCTTCAACAGACTCCTCGCCCGGGAAGCCTCCCCCAGCGCCTCCCCCTTGGACAGCTTGCCCGCCCCGCCGCCAACCCCCGCAATCAACCCCAGGATCGCAAACGGGGCAGAGCTCGGATCCTCAATGATGTCCGCCACCGTGAGTGCCCCGTTGCCCGCTTCGCCGATGAGAAGCGCAATGCGAGCGACGGTTGCTGCGCTGCCGATGAGGGGGCCGAGGGCCTCGCCGACAAAGGGGATCACCATGAAGACGATGCTGAGGATCTTGAAGATGAGGTCCTTCTTTGCTTCTTCCTTGGCCTTTTCGCCAATGTCTTTGATGTCCTTCATGCTGCTGACGGCTTCGGCGAGTTGTAGGACGGGCATGGAGTAGGCGACGACTGCGTCGGTGGCCGAGCCATCGTTTGGCCCGTCGTCGTAGAACGACAGGCCCACGCTGAGGTACGACGAGAGCAGCGAGGTTCGCAGAGCCGTGACATTGCCCATGGACGCCTCGATGAGCTTCTTCGGATTGCCGACGTGGATAGCGTCGTCGGAGGCCTTCTGAGGGTAATTCAGCTTTTTGCGGTAGAGCTTCCGGCAGGGCACGTTGCCGGCGCCCGGTCGGACATCTCCCGGATCCGCACACACGTAATCGGACGTCTCGTCGCCAAACGTCACCCACGACTCGTCGATGCCCGTCTCGGCCGCGAGCGCGTCGAAGAAGCCCTGCTTGTCGACGAGATCGAAGCGAATGCTCCATCCCGCGCTCATGTCCCAGATGTGCGGCATGCCGAGGCAGGAGTCTTTCGTTTCGGCGCGGCCGGTATATGCCCAGTAGCAGTCAAAGTACTTGAGGCCTTTGCCGTCGCCGAGCGTCATGAAGTCGTCGATGCGCGGCTGGATCTGCTCCTTGGTCCACTTCTCGTACCAGCCGAACTTGTCGTCGTAGTCTTGCGAGTTGGTCTGGAACAGCGACAAACTGTCGAGGAGATGTGAGTAGAGGATGTCCATCGCAAAGAGGCTGACACAATCGGGGTCGAGAGAGTCGGCTTGATCAGCGAGGCCGTCCAGGGTGCCCGGGTTCTTGTCGGACGGGCAGGTGGGAGTGTCGTCGCCGGCTTCATCGTCGGAACCGACGCCGTCGTCGTCGCTGTCGTCGCCGTTTTCGTTGTTCGAGTAATCTTGGAGGTCAATGGCCCAGTCGGTCGAACCGCCAAAGTTGAGGCCCTGGATCCACTTGATTCGGGCGGCCTTGAGACCGCCGTCCAGGTAGGCCACCCAATCCACCGCTCCAGGGTTGCCGTAGATGAGAATATTGGAGGCCGAAGCATGGTCAATGTACGAGTTGACGATGGAGTAGCTACCGTGGTTCTTGATGATGTCGTTGAGCTCGGCGTTGGCGATGTAGCCACCAGTTGCCGTACAAGGCGCGGCATAGGCCTTGGAGTGTGTCCGATCTCCCGCATAGGTGCAAAAGGGACCGGAGCAGGAGGCGTCATTCATGCGGAAACTTCTGCCGTAACTGCTGACGCCAATGACGATCTGTCGGGCTTCCACACCAGCTTTGGTGATCATGACCATGGCGTCGTGCGTCTCGGTGATGTTGACGTGCGATCGAAGACAGTTACCAGCTGGGCAGCCGGGAATGGCCGATTTGTTGTCGACATCTACATCCAGACTTCGTGTTAGTATATACACTTGGTTCTCAAGCTTGCGTTACTACTTACCCCATTGGCCGTGCAAGTCATACGTCATGTAGATAAAGTAATCCACAAATTTTGCAATCTGCTGGACCGGATACTGCTTCAAATACCAGTAAGAAGCCGGCAGCGCGATGGAAATGGATTTCCCGCTAGGCAGCTTGCTCCGGAGCATCTGCAGGAAAGCAAGGTAATTTTTCCCTTCGTCCGCGCTTCCGGGCGCGATGTCCGGAATATCAGGGGCACCGGGATACTCCCAGTCAAAGTCGAAGCCATCCAGGTTTTGACGGCTCATGAAGCTCACCAGGTTATTGACGAAGGCGACGCGATGCTCCGGCTTGGTGGCATCTCGGAAGCGCTGGAACGTGCCCGGCTCGGTGGAAAACGCCCATCCGCCAAAGGAGAGAATCTTTTTAAAGCCGCTCATCTTCACGAATTTGCTAAATTCGCTCTCGACGCTGGAGATGTCCACGTCGAAATCGGATGTGACCGTGGCAAACGCAAAGTGAATGTGCGAGTACAAGTTGGCCGGGATCTCGGTGACACTCATGCGCAGACACGCCCTCAGCTGGTCAAACGCCTCGAAATAGCCGATCGTCTTGACCTGATCGGGTGCCTGGCCGTTGTTGACGATCTCCATCCCGCAGTTGGAAATGCAGCCGTTGGTGTGCGGCTTTGCGGTCCCGGGAGCGCCAGTATCCGCGGGTGTCTTGGTGCAGAAGTCGACCGTGGTTCCGCAAAATCCCCAGACATCGCAGCATGCATTCAGGGGACATGGATTGAGATCCGCGAGTGCAGTTCCGTCGGAAGGCTTCTGGGTCCCCGGGACCTGCGGACCGCAGGTGGCTCCCGGGACGGGCGCGGGCATAGGAGGCTTTCCCTCGCTGAGGCAGATGAGTTGGCCTACCGGCAGCCCCGCCGCACAGCCGGCCCAGCCCCAAGTGTTCTTATTGAAGTCTTCAATATCTTGCTGGGTCAGGTAGTGCGCGTCTGCCACGTCCCAGCATCCATCGTTGGCGTTGATCTTATAAGTATTGCAGGTGCCGTCGGGTTGGGGCTGAGGGCGAAAGTCTGGCAGAGTGCCTGCGGTGCAGCACACGAACTGTTTGGGCTTCAGGCTCGAGCACAGGTTCGCTTGCGGGTTGTATTTGTACAAGTCGTCTCCCGAGATGCCGCAGCGGCTGGCCAGCGAGGGGCAACTGTCCCCCCCATGGACCTCCTCGGTCCTGCACCATCCTCTTGGGAGAAGGGCTCGTGGAACTCCTCTGGCGGTCTTGTTGTGGGAGATGGTAGTAGCGTTGGTAGGAGGAGCATTGAAACCCGTATCCACGGTGGACACGAGCACGTCCATGCTGACGGCGGTAGCGGGACTGGTCCCGTCCAGGCAGAGACCATTGCTCCAGCCTTTGACGGCATCTTGGGCCGCGGCCAGATCAACGAAGCCAGCAGAAACGACTCCAACCGTCAGAGCCGCACTGGCAGGCTGGCATATCTGCAGGGCAGACGTTTGCTTTTCCGCAAAAGAATCGACAAAGTCTCGCGCCGCATGTTTGGTGATTTGGGCACCAGCATACAAGCCCACGACAGCCGACTCGTGCTTGGCAAACAAGATGGTGGCGCCGCACTCGGCGCTCCGGTCCACGAACCGGGCAAGTTGATGGACCGCCTCGGCCACATGAGCCGACTGCGGAGCAGCGCCGGACGCCGTGCGAAGCGTCAAAGGGCCAACTTGGGGAGTGAAGGCTGTCTTGACCGCCTTGGCGCCGCAGCTTTCCGCGACAACGAGGTTGGATTGGCTTTGCTGCTGAGGCACATCGGGGGAGGCGGCCGCCTCGTACGTCTGGCCTGGGCTGGCCACGCAGGCGCGGATGGTGAGGATGGTGTTTGGATCCGCGACCGAGTTTTGAATATTCAAATCAAAGAGGACAGTCTGATCACAGCTCTCGAGATTGCGGAGATGGTGGATGTTGGTCCAGTTGGCCGGACTGGGACCGGCCTCAGCACACAGACTAGGACAGTCGTCAGCATACTGGCCATTGTAGCCGTCGGTGACGGCCGAGGCGAGGCCCAGCAGAGAGCCAAGGAGGACAAAAGAGAGCCTCATCCTGTTCTCGGAGCCAGTGCTGGCAAGGAATGAGGGAACATGTGAGGAAGAGACCGAATACTTGGAGGGATTTGGCGGTCCATATAATGTACCATGTTGCTGGAGTCCTGACCCATTCTCTTTCGGGTTATCAGAATAAGCTGACGGCGTCGTCGAAAGTGTCCACTTCCCCCTGATAGATGCATGAGCTCAAGTCTAGGGTGACCGGCGATTGCAAATCCCCACGAGTATACCTTAGCGACCCTCTTTTTTTTTTTTTTTTTTTTTGTCTTCTGGCCCCCAAATACAACTATATTAGGGGGCACTGTTGCCAAGAGCCAAGAGATGCCTCCATGTAACCTTCTGGCTGCTTAGCCTGCTTAGCCTGCTTAGATGTTGGTGAGCAACGGACTATCCGTGGCTGGAGTGGGTGCGTATGGCATGGATACCGATCATCTCCGGGGCCCAGCTCAAAAATTGCATCTCGTGTAATTTCTGTATCATGTCTTTATTTTATTTTATATTTTTTGAATCTGGTTTTGGGGAGAAAAAAGGGGGATGGATCATGTTACGACGCTTGATTGTCGCTGCTGACTCGATTCCTTGGACGGAGTAAGCTGTAAGCATCGTGAAAAACCTCGTCTCGATTACGGTTGATATATCTTACTCTTTGTATTTTCTTTCTGATGTATTCATTTCCTCACACTTCCCCCCTCTCTTGAATCCCCATCTTGCTTGCTACAATGGGCTCCGCGCTCAATTCCCCCATCTACAGAGACTATGGTGAATTCTTCATGAATAGCAGCAACATCCTTGCTGTTCCCTATGGAAGTGTCACCGCTGCCTTCAAGGCGCCCGTCGCCGTCCATTCGACAGCCATCGATGGCTTCGACTGGACGCAGCCGTATCCGGGCTCCCACCGAGACGGCCACACGGCATACCTCGAGGTCGCCCAGGAAATGCCCTTGTCTGCGTCTATTGTGGAAAATGCAACCACTGTCCTGTCGTCCTTGACGTTTGGTATTCCCGACAGCATGAGCTCGGGCGACCAGCCACTGGCCATGGACCCTTCGTGGTACATCTGTCGCCACGTCTTCATCTCCACCAAACCGGAGGCGAAGCAGGCCGTCGACGGTGGCAGCAAGTGCGATTTCCTCTCCCAGGCATGCCAGGCCGATCTCAAGACCAGCTTGACTCAGGACTGGGGAAAAGCCGCCGACGGCACCATGTGTGCGGCGCTTGGCTTTGACCCCATACCACTGAGCTGCCAGGACTCGTTTGGCCTCGCCCGCCAGGACGTCATGGCGTTTGACGCCGCCTTCCTCGCCAATCCCGCCCTGGGCCCGGTGCAGACGAGCAAAGACCAGCAGCAGTACAGTTGGCGCATCGGCACCGGATACCATGACCCGGGTGATGCTCGTGCCTACGCCCTGGCCGCCAACCGGACGTATCTCGTCGCGACCGTCTGGGGTTACAGCCAGAGTGTCAAGTCCAGTCAAGTCCCCGGGGTATCGTTTGCTTGCCTCTCGTCTGGCGCCAGCTACGTCCCGCCCCCTCCTGGCCCTCCGTCGTCTACCGTCGCCTTTGGGGATGACTTCTCCAGCGGGTCCCTGGCCCAATGGAAGACTTACGGTGGTTCTTTCGACGCATCCTCGGGTGCCTTAGTGGGAAGCCAATCCTTTGGTGGCAAGGCCCTTGTGAGCCCCATCTTTGGAGACTTCCTCTACGAGGCCGATGTCACGCTGCCATCGACCTCTGGCAACGCAGGTCTTGTCTTCCGCGTCTCCAATCCGAGCATTGGCGCAGATGCCTACAACGGCTACTACGCAGGTATCTCTGCCTCTGGTGTTGTCCTCGGCCGGGCGAGCAATAGCTGGACGGCGATCGCTAGTTCGTCTGCCGACCTGGCAGCCAACAAGGTCCACCACATCAAAGTGCAGGCCAGGAATACGGCGCTCGACATTTTTGTCAATGACATGAGCAAGGCCAAGGTCAGCGTCACGGATGGCACGTATTCCAGCGGCATGAACGGCGTGCGAGTCTTCGACACGGGCGCCACCTTTGACAACATTCGCATCACGCCGCTGGCGTTTAGCGATGACTTCTCGAGCGGCACCATGGGCAAGTGGACCACTATCGACGGCACATACCAAGCCTCGTCCAATGCCGCCGTGATGTCCGCCTCGCCCGGCGCCAGGGCCCTGGCCACCGCCGTCACCTTCACCGACTTGATCTACGAGGCCGAGGTCTCCATCGACTCCACGGTCTATGGCAACGGCGGCTTCATCTTCCGCGTCTCCAACGCCAAGGCCGGCGGCCCGGATAGCTACAACGGGTACTATGCTGGGATCGGCAACGGATACGTTGTGGTCGGCTTCGCGGACTACGGTTGGAATGAGCTCAAGAACGTTCCGGCTGCGGATATCAAGCCGGGACAGAAGCACCACCTGATGATTCGGACGAGTGGAGATTCCATTTCTGTCTACGTGGATGACTTGAATACGCCGAGGATGGTGGTCAAGAATGGAAAGTATAGTGCTGGGTCGAGTGGCCTGAGGGCTTACATGACGACCATGTCTGTGAGCAATGTACGGATTTACACAGCTTAGTTAGAGTTATTTCTGTTTTGTATTTTCATGATATTTTCAACTGAAATTTAATTACTCTTCGGCTTTGCCAAACTTTCACTTACACAGGATTCCATAATAGCACCGCTGGACCGATACTATACTACGCTAGACTATCTCGCTTCTCCATTTCACCAGATTAGGAAACAGACCCAATATATCACAGTTCCGCATTTAAGCGTAATAACTAGTAGCTCGAAATTGGCTCGTTTAGTAAGGGGAACTAGGAATGTAACCCACCCCTACGTCTAAGACGACTAGTGCTTAGTAGAGAGAGATCGGTTAGAGACAGGCATATATCCAGTATATACACGTTAAATAGGGGCTACATAGCTAATATCTGATGTAGTAGCCGAGGTATCGAGATAAGACACCAGGAACTATATCCTTGCTACAATTCACATTGTTCGAGCCGCTACACAGCCGCAGCCCCCACGCCTGTGTTAGATGCAGGAGGGTCCACTGCTTGTGTTCGGAAATTGCAAAACCACTCGCTGGGCGCCTTGTTTTGACTACGTGAGTCTCGAAGTCTTGGCCCATGGATCCTTGCTCACAGTAGATAGATCATGGCGTCAGCAGGAAAGTAGAGTGAAGCCTTTGTTTTCCCCCCTGCCGGCGCATGACCTAGTAAATTGCTTGCAGTTGCAGCACTTATCATCGAAGGGTCTTGTCTTGGTCGGCCACCCTTACTCACTGGGCGGTCTTTCTTTTTTTTTTTTTTTTTTCTTGAGCCTTCTTGCAAATTGCCTTTTCTCAGGTAAAAATCAAATCATGCTGCCGCTTCTGTTCATAGCAGTCTTCCTCGCCGCCGGTGTCACGGCCAACCAAGTCGCCGGCAAATTCCAAGCCCTCTTCTTCTACCAGCTCTACAGGCTCGAAGTCGACGCCCATGGCCTCGCCAACTCGCGCATGGCGCCCGGCTGCGCCAAGGCCGGCGTCGTCTGCAGCATGGAGGAATTCATGAAGGAAGTCTGCAAGACCAAGATCGAACCGGAGCGCGACGCCAACGGCAATATCATCAAGCCCCCCAAGGGCCAAAAACCGAACCTCGTCAATGTGCCCGATTTGAGCAAGGTCGACTGGGCGCGCGTCGGCGAGGGAGCGGACCTCGACGTCTTCAGCACCGAGTTTGACAAGTCGGGCTTCAAGGGCGACTTTGTCAATAAGAAGATCTTCAAGGACTGGAGTCAGAAAGACACTTTTGAAAACGTCATGAGCGAGGCGGAGGATATTGGTACAAAGGCCATTGCCAAGCTCAACGCTGACGGCAGGCAGCCGGCCGATGACCGGGTCAACAAGATGACCGCGGCGCTGAAGACTCATGCCGATGCTCGGCGCTACGATCAGGCGCAGAAGATCACCAAGGCGTTTGAAGGTGAAATGCAGAAGAAGGGGATCACCGTCGCGTACACTGATCCCATAGAGAGGCCGCCGGTGCCGGGGTACCGGAAGATTGACGCGGACCAGACCATCAGCAATAACCAGGACAAAGCCGGTTTTAACGACAAAATGGAGAAGACGGTGAGAGAATATGTCTCCAAGTACAATAGCGCAGGAACATCGAAGAGCCATGTTGAGGCTATTGCGAAGACGGAGCAGATGCATAAGCATTTTGCCGAGGCGTGTAAAGCATGACCATCTGGCTGCGAAGGATGGTGGACTGTTGGTGATATAGCTATCAGTATACCCTATTTAATAAGTCCCAAAGTTCTTTGGAAGTCGCTCTTTTATGTAACACTCATTCGTACAATATCGCACCATGATCCGCGGCCGCAGCTCGGGGGCGCTCTGCCGAGCTTGCTTGACCCATGGATGGTCCTCATCGGGCAAATACTCAGACATCCTGAGGAACTCTCGCTCCGAGAGGTAAGGGACCCAAGCGGAGCCTGGGTCCGTCCCAAGAATGTCGACGTGGTCCATTCGTGCTCGCTGCCACATGTACGCGAAGAGGATCCACTCCGCTTGTCTTTTCCATGCTTCCACGGCCGTCTGGAATCGAGAACTGGTAAATGCTTCGAAGAGCGTCTGCACGGCCGGTTCCTTTTCCAATGAGTGTTCCCGAAATAACGCTTGGAATTCTCTCAACCGAGCCTCGTCGCCCACATCCACCATCTGAACAGGGGCATCGCCCAACAACCCGAACAGGCCAGACCTCAGAGCCGCTTCCCGGGGGATATGGAGAGAAACCGCCGCCATGGCGACGTCTAGCCTGCTTTGACTTTCCGCGCAATACGCCATGTCGCCCACGTCCTTATTTCTTCCGTCGTGATAGAGAAGCGACGGGCTGTCGGACGCATCCGCGCCATCCGCGCCATCCGCGCCATCCAACAGCGCCTTCAAGCTAAACGGGTGCATGATCTCCGCCACGACAGACGGCTGCATCCCCAGATCCTCCGCCCGCCACAGGAACATGGCGATCGGACTCGAAGGGTCGTCAGCGTTTCCCCAGACATTGTAGCGCAGTCGCGTCCAGTTGAGATGCAGCACATCCCGACGCGGCTGCACCCAGATCGACTCCAGACTCGTCGTATCTTGGAGGTCCAACCAGCGTCCCTCTTCCAGCGCGACTTGCCGAGACTCGCTGTTGACGAATGCGATGGCCGGCGGCTGAGCGTTTTGGTGCGTTATGCGGTCAGCCCAGCAGGCTTGACGCGATTCGTTGCCGTCGAGAAGGAAGTCAGGGGTGTCTTCTTCTGCTATACGATGCGGTAGACAGTGCCTCCAGATGAGACGCCGTAATTCTAGAGGCAGCTGCGAAAAGTAGTGGAATGAGTCGTTGTTCATCTTTACGCTGTAGCGGTATCAAGAAGTAGATAGAAGACAAAGACAATTGTTGTACGGAGGTAGATTTAACATTATCTTTTTAGTAAGCAAAGAATGACATTAACCAGTTAAAGTGAAATTAGAATTAGTGTTATTAATAACTATTTAAATCTATTGAAATGATTTTGATAATTTAAATTTATACCATTCTTTGAGGTCATCTATTAATTATGTTATTAGTTACTTTTCAGAAGACTTAGGATAGTCCATGACATCCATAACTGTGATGTTGCATTGGGGAAGAGTTAAGAGATATCCTATGATTAGAGTTGCATAACCGAACCGCAAAAATCAAACCCAACCCTCACCGAACTCACAGCAGTGTGGGTTCAGGGGTAAGCCTAGGGAATCACTTCAGGTGCAGTTTCTATACCCCAGAACCATTTCAGGTTCAGTTAAAACCATTCAGTTATTTCTTACTTACTAATACCTAATTTCTACGATTTAGCTAATAACTTTTATATTACTAGATAGCCTAGATTCAGGGCTATCTAGTGATATAAATATTCATTTAAAATACCTAGTGGTTGTTAAGATATTAAGGAATGATAACTTTTGTCATGAGTTGGTATAAAAGTGCTGCGGATATGTATATATAAGGGCACCAAGGTCTGACAACCACCATGGTTTAGATATATTTTTAACCACCACCCATTCAGACCTATAGATATTGAATTGATATTTTAAATATAGCTTGATATAATGATAATTACTATATATTTCATATAAAAATTATAATTTTATATGGGCATGCTTGATAGGCTGAGAGAATAGGCCTAAGGTAGGAGAAATTGAATTCTAAAAACCATTAAAATTTTAGTTATTACCTAGGCAAACCGCTGGCCTAGATAGGTTAGTAGGGGCCTAGCTATACCTAGCTAGGCGTAGTGGCGGGTTTTTACAGTGAAACCGCAACCAAATCGCACCGGGTCCGGGGGGGTTGCGAGTTCTAAAATTTGAACCTGAAACTGCAGCGGTTCAGGGCCAACTAGGCTGGAACCCGCCCAAACCCGCACCAAATGCAACTCTACTTATATCTCTGCTTATCCTATAGATTATGGCAGGCTCAGGGTAGTCCTGAATAACTATAGAAGAAATTATCTTACTATACTATTTACTGTACAGATATATATTTTATCCGTAAAATTGGCTGAATTATTAGAGACTTCTACAAACCAGCATTGAAATATAAGTATATTACTGTTAGCAACCTACAGGATGCTCCACGGACCAAACTATAGAATATTCTAATTATCTGGATCTAGGTGTTAAGGAATATAAAACTAACTTATATCCTCTAGAAGAGGTTGGGAGATAATAATAAATAACTATAATAAAAGAATCTACTACTCTCCTTAGGCTGTCTTAGTTTCTCAGCAGGGTTATCCATCAATAGATAAAACACTTTAATTATAAGCACAAAGCCCCTATCTTTAGAGATTACCTTTAAATATTTAACTTAATTTTATTCTAATTATCACCTTTATAGTTAATATGTAGCTACTCTAGCTAGAGTGCTCTATATTCCCCTCCTTAGCGGGAGTTCAGTATCTCTTCCTATGCTGAAGCTATACCAGCTATTCTCTGCTACTGCACCTACCTCTTGTTCTGCGGAACTATTCCAATCTCTAAAGAGGAACAAAGGCTCTGGCTTAATGTATAACACTGAGTTCTAATGTATGGGGAATGAGGTCCCTGCTCTGTGGGGCGTTCTTCAATCCTGATATCGAGTGCAATCTTGTCAGCGCTTGGCTCAAGGAGACGAAGACAGATGGTATTCCTTAGCGAAACGAGTTCTAGAGCTTCGAATGGACCTCATGAATTCAAGTCGACCTCGACTTAATTACATTATGGAGCATAGGTAGCTAAAATATTTCCTGCCTGTGACTTCCCCGTGGCTCTAGTTTGAGTCCTAATTGGCCATTAGACAGCAACGTTGAATCCTCACTCTGTGGTCTGCTTGTCTGACTGAAGTTTGTTAGTTTGCTCTGTACAATGCATATCATCATCTTCCTGCGTCGGGCGAGTATTGACCCATGGGATTCCGGCCGATAGAATAAGTGCCAGACCGCTACCAGCTATTGAAAGCCACTAGTAGAGTCAGTATTGTCAGCTCAACACGGAAGTGACAAGATTAGAAGACTAACTCACAAAGATAGATGTGATGGCATTATTGTATGCAATGATAATGTCGGCTAAACGGTCCGGAAATGCCTGCACAGTAACTTCCCGCACCCGTGAGGTTCCAGCATTAAGAAGCATCTCGATCTGCTCATAATTTAATGATGCCTGATCTTGTAGCTGCCTTCTCAGTTCATTCTGAAAGATAGCACCTCCTATGCTTTGCATCACCGCACTGCCAAAGTATTGCGTGAAGAGAACAGTCGCGATCCCGACGGGAACATAGCGAGGTCTGTCCTTTAATACAAGCTGAACTGTAAGTAAAGGAATCTGGGCCGCAAATCCACAACCCAGGCCCTGGAGGATCTGATAACCAATCCACGATGCGGACGTGGAGGATACAGTAAAAGTTGTGTAAAGCCCATTCGCAATGCAGAGAAAAGCAGAACCAATGAAGAGCCACGGATTATAGTATCTGAGGTGCTTGGCTATATTATACAGCGTCAGTATGGATTTTCGTGAAATGGTAAGAACGCATGCTGTCTTTACCTAATATTCCAGAGACAAGGGATCCAAACACCTGAGTGCAAACCGAAGGCAGAAGCATGACTCCACTGCGAATAGGGCTTGCAGACTTAACGATTTGAAACCATTCCGGTAGGTAGTAGACCGGAATGACGAATGACCCTAAAAACAAAAAGGCAAATGCAATACTAAGCATCGTCGACCTGCCCCGCAGGAGTACGATTGGGATCATAGCTTGATCTCCCATGTAACCTTCCCAGAAGATAAAGATAGCCATCGTCACAGCAAAGCCGACGAAGAGTCCGATCACGGTCGCCGAGTCCCAGGGATATTCGCCACCTCCCCACTGCAAGGCCAACATCACCATGATGATGGAGGGTATGAAGAGAGCACATCCGATTAAATCGAGCTGTTTAAGGAAGGACACATCATGGGCCGCGGGGTTCCGAGGCGGATGGAAAAATAAAAGCAATGTCACCACAGTCACTGCTCCCGCTGGAAGGTTGATGAGAAAGCACCACCTCCAAGTGAATTCAGCCAACGCGCCTCCGATAATTGGGGCGACAACGGTTCCCAGGGCATAAAGAGAGGTCACTAGCCCAGTGAACAGTGGACGCTGCTGAGAGGGTGTGATCAATGCAATAACTGAGAGACCACCCGACACTACCCCGGAGCCTCCAGCCCCGGCGACTGCTCTTCCGATTATGAACATTTTGGAACTGTTTGCCACCCCGCATATTAGGGATCCTAGAAGGAATATGCCGTAGAACCCGAGGTATGTCCATCGCAGCGACAGCAATGAAGAGAGCTTGCCACTGATAGGTTGAAGAGCGCACATCGTGAGCGGATAAGTAGCTCCATACCAGCCGATATCAGTCGTAGCATGGAAGTGGGTCGATATCGAAGGAATGGCCTTGGAGAGGTCGCTTTTAGTTCCACAAAGTATCAAGCAACAGAAACGAGAGGCTTTCAGCGAACTTACAGTAGCAATAATGGAGACATCCAATGATATCAGGAACGTGGCGATCATAATTCCGGCCAAGATACTATAGAGCTTCACAGAACCGACCGGCTGTGCACTGGACATGGCGTCAGGAGGAGTTGAAGACATCATCCACACGGTTGATCAAAAAATCAAACGATTGTATGGGTGGTCCATGACAATGAGTATTCGAAATGTTACCGCAGCTTTTATGCTGTCCCTGGTCCCCTGGTGGTTACCAAATTGGGTAGTCTGTTGGCACCGTATGCCGAAGCCGGTCCCGGCTCCGTGGCCGACTCCGACTCCAACCTGAACCTGTGTCGCGTCGGCCGCAGATCTGTGTCCGGCTTCCATCTGGAACCAGAGCTCCCTATCTCTCAATACAAAGAGCAATGCAATCTAAAGTCCCCTCAAGGCGGCATGCCTGTGTACGATGCATTCAGTTGAAAGTGAAATGCGTTCCGGTTGAGAATGGACGGTGTCAACGGTGTGCAAGACTCGACCGACCCTGTGCTTTTCCAGACGGCTTGTGTAGAAATACGAGCATCAGGTTAGCCCAATGACCATATGCACCTGTGTTGGGGTCGACTGTCCGGTAACCTTCTCTCTCTCTCTTTTCAGAAATAGCCGTATCGATATGATCCAGCATCAGGTCGACACCCTTGTTGCTCAATTATGTCCTGATAAGGTATCCTATTTCGAACTGATGTGCCACCCCACTTCCCTGCCAAAAAGATTATCTCAACTGTTTCGACTAGGACTCGAGGATGGAGCGGTCACCTATTACAGAAACACCATCCCCTGCTGCAATCGGTAATATGTCGTTACAGCCAAGCCCTGTACCTGAACCGCTGAACGACTTTATTACCCGGGGCCTTCTCAATGTCACTGAAGGTGAAGAACTTCTCTTGAAGTTCCGCACTAACTTGATGCCCCTGTTTCCATTCGTCATAATATCTGAGGTGAGCTTTGTTGAACTGCGCAAGCAGGCTCCATTCCTCCTCTTATGCATAATGACCGCTTGTCTCGAGCACAAACCCGCTCTACAAGAGAAATTGGAATTCGAAGTTCGAACGGTGGTCTCTACCCGCATAGTAATGAGCATGGAGAGGGACATGGATTTACTGCGGGGGTTACTGGTTCATATAGCGTGGTACCATTATCATTGGCGTATCTATCATACCCAGGTGTACATGCTGCTTCAGATGGCTATGGCCATCGTGGTTGATTTGGGACTTGACCGATACGACAACTTCAAAATGCAGCGCATCCCTCATGATGGAAAAGGGACGGAGGAGTCACACAAAGGACAAGCGCTCTATCTGACTTCTGACGGACAGCGAGCCTTCTTAGGGTGCTATTACCTATGTTCCAAGTGAGAACTTCTATAATGTGGTACAATGCTATTGACTAACAGAATAAGGGCCTCAATATTCCGGCGACAACTGACCATGAAACACACGGATTGGGTCGAGTATTGTGCTGCTAGCTTAGGGCAAAGGGCGGAGTATCCCACTGACCAGTCTCTAAAAGCACTAATTGAGATCCAATCGCTTGTTCGGCAATCGGAGCTAGAGGTCGAAGACCCTATTCATGCGATGGGCAAGGACGAACTGTTCCAGTCTATGGACATACTTGAGAATCGAATCGAGCACCTTCTCGTACAGGAAACACAGTGTAATACCTGTATGTCATTCTAAGACTGATTAATTTCGCCCTTTACTGATCTGACTAGGGTCCCTACGTTTGGAGCTCAATGCGATTCCTGCCATTGTTCTCGGGCATACTCTTCGGCGACAAAGAGATATCCATCGCCAGTATGAGAAAGAGCAACTGGTTACAATTGCACGCTCCGCGTTCAACATTGTAACGGTATTCCTCGCATCGCCAGCCTCGGTCACACCTAATCTCCCTATGTTCAGTTACACATCTATCTGGTATGGCCTTCTTGTTTTATCGAAGTTAAGCTTGCTTTCGGATGCCGCGACGGAAGGCAAGGCAGTCGGAGTCCATAATAAAGATATCCATAACCTCGGCCTTGCAGCTATGCAGAAAATGGAGGCAATGTCACGAAGAAACGATGTTTGGGATAATTGCCGCGCAGTGATTGGATCTATGCTCTCATGGTTAGAGAGCAGTCGGGTACAACCCCAATCAATACAAGTTCGAGGAGATATATCACATACCCAGGACCCTGAGAACGCTTCTATATTACCACAACTGATACGCGAAGATTCTCCTGGAACCACAGAGTCTGCAGCGGTGGCTGAAGATTGGGATGCTACTGTGTGGCAACAGATGTTACAAGATTTGACCTGGATAGGACTACCGGTGGAGCAGCAGTGCGCCGTAGATCTAGCCTACATGTCTTGAAAACAATATGACTTTTATATTCCGGTCCACCGGATTACGCAGGCTGAATCCTGTTTAGTTTGATTTCGTGGAAGTATGGTATATACTAACTCGGTTCGCAATCTATCGCAGTGCCTGCGAAACGGACCCTTTCTGGTCTCACTTCCCCATCGCCGAGCGAGTGTACATTCAAGAGCTGTGATAACGCCATTAATTCTCTTGTCCTGGGACACTGGCTTGACATATAAACTTTGTGCCAGTTGATACAAATTCAGAGCTCTGTGCTGCTACAATTGATGGCTGAATCAAAACTTCTGTTTACGGTGCCGCTCCGTCAACACTGAACTTACATGTCGAAAATGTGGTGTAAAGGCCGTGCATTCCCCAGACGGTCTTTGACTCTCGTTTCCACTGGGTCTACTAATTCCATCGGTCCAGTCCTGCATTTCCAGTGAGATCACTCCATACGGACAAGGAAGTTTGAGCCGTCGGGGAATCTGCCATTGGTGACCCTGGGATTGTCAACCATATGTTGTTGTACATTAAGTTAAAGCTGCACTCAATACCTTCTCTTTCTTTAAATCTAGTACATACGACCATAGGGTGTGGAAAACAGGGCTTCCCGTCCGCTCAGCCGTACTTAAGCCACACGCCGGCCGGTTAGTAGTTGGGTGGGTGACCACCAGCGAATCCCGGCTGTTGTATGTTTTTTTCCCTCTGTTTTCCTTGAGCCTTTTTGTGATCAATTCATCCTGAGAAGTTGTTGAATATCGAGGAGGGTAGCTGACAGGCCGGGATTGCTTCCTGCAAGGCCGAGGCAATTCGAGGTCCAGGCAGGCGAGTCGGACGAATTTATGGCTTATCTTCCGTTTGAAAATCAAACTTCTGTTCTGAAGAGAAACAATGTCCATGCAACCGTTGTTCATTGCGCAGGGTATGGCTAGAGAGGACATGATAGAGGATAGTGAACAAGAGATGATGAATGATGAATAATTATGCAGAAAAAAGGCTGTATGAAAGGATCAAGAAGATCAAAATCAAGAAATAGGGCAAAGATGCATATGTGTAGTAGAATGCTGAACCATGCCAAACCAGCCCACAGCTTATTTTACCTTTCCAGATTTCCTGCAACACCAAACACCGCTTATATAACAAAGCCAAGCCCAAAGGTGCGGAAGATGGGACGAAGATTGTAAATTGGAAGATGAGAGAATAGAAACGAGTGATCGCCAAGGAGGGTATCAGGGGAATGGGGTATCTCTAGCCATAGTTCGGATGTCGCGACACTCGCTTTTCGGTTCACTTTCTTTCCTCGAGCAGTCTATACGCTCGTTTGCATCACAAAACGCCGCCGGGTAGGTTGATCTGGCCTTGTCTGCCCTCGAAGCCTGCGCTGTTGGGAGCAGAGCCCCCGCTGGTGTAAGCGTTATCAATAGGATGCAGCTGTTTTCGCAGCATGAACATTGGTTTTCTTCCCTCCTTCTCGAGTTGCTTGAAGAGAATAAGCGGCCGCTCCTCAAGTCCTAGACATCGCTCTTGATCACCGTACACAATGTACAATGCATACTGCTTCCAGTCGGCATTGATATTGTACTTTTTGAGTGCGGCGGGAAGAACCTTATGACAAGGGTCATCCATCGAAACACGGAATGACTTGAAGATTTCGACACTAGGTGGATCTGCGCCCGCTCGAGAATCGGACCGTGTGGGAACATCAGGGCGTGACGTTTGTGTCGGGGTTGGATTCAACCGATCGGGACGTGATTGTGCCGTCGGAGTATCTTCCGGATGATCATAGCCTGTGCGACCCGAATTCGGTTGTGTGTAAGAACGTGATGCAAGCGTCTGATGAGCACCATAGTGAGCACCAGGAGACGTCGGCGATGGCATGCCCGGTGACAACTGTGGTTTGCCATTCAAGGCGCTCAGGTGGGACGAATTCGCGGCAGCAGAAGGGTCCAGTCCACCGTTGTCGTTGTACGGTCGTCCTTCGTGTATCGATGGAGGAATATGCGTAGGCGAGTTGTTTTTCGGTGTGGAACCCCCAGTGTAAACGCGTTTGGAAAAAGTCCGAGAGATTCCGGACGCTGCACGCTCAATCAAAGTGTTTCCGGAGGGCGACACGAGGGTTTGGCCTTCGTAGTGGCCATCGGCTCCAGGGCCCGCCGATGATGGAGGGGGCAGTGGGTGTGATCGATCCTTGGCCATTTTGAAGACAGGAAGAAGCTCTTCGCGAAGCCGACGATACTCCTCTGCAACGCGCCGCAATTCAGATTCAACGCTGACGATCTTTTCATCCCGTAACCGGATCGATTGTATCAAACGAGCAATATCCTCCTGCGAGGCCGTTTCATTCATGCTTTGGTCCGCCGCTGCAGGACAGTTAGAACAAACACCCACATCAGCATGGAAGAGATCCTACAAAGAGGTATGTAGTGGTCAGGGTCGAGAGGAATGTCTTGCTTGACTTTAGTCTCGTATACACTTTTCAGAATGGTCAATCGGTGCCCAACGCTGGTGATTCCCATTTCTTTCAACTCCTCGTGTTTGAGCGCAATCAGTGCTTCGCCGACGATTTCGTTCTCTACAACGAGTAAGCAGGTTAGTAAATTCCCCACACTGGACAACCCTGTCTAGGAGTCCCAATTGTTCTGTTTAACGGCCAACTTACCAAGAAAAGTTGCGCAGTATTGACGGAGGCCGAGCGCGGCAAGCCAGTTTGCGCATTCCTCAGCGGTCCACTCTGTGATGATAGTCTTCGGTGATCGAGGGTCTTCCTCAGGGTTTGCAAATGTCCTTGGAGTGTGTTCGGCTGAAGGGAATTCCGAGTCGGAGGGAGAGGCCTCGGAGTCGGTCGCTAGATGAGGGGAGGTAATAACACTCCGTTCGTACTCATCATCCGCGTCGGAGTCCGCGTGATAGGATGTATGGAGAGACATGTCTATGGAAGGAAGCTGAAGGGCCGACAATGACGTCCACGGGAGTGAAGAGGAATGGGGTGGACGTCGGCCCAGAGGAGCGTCCGCTCTGCAGCAACACTACTGTGAAGAGTGACTGCAAAGTGAGCAGAAGGTGTGCATAGATTAGGTGACAGTATTCGGTCTGTCTTATACGATCGCAACCAAGGTCATTCAGAGTTGCGATTAAGCGAGGTCGGAGGGTGATGCAAGTGATGAGGGCAGCTGAGCCAAGCAGGTAAGCCACATGGATGGGGAACAATGGCAGTTAAGAGGCAACGAGGAATCGTCGAGATGCGGGGACGGAGGGGAAGGGAGATAGATATCGTGAAGGCCAGCGACGGGACTAAGATCCTTTGTAAGATGGTAGTATGTCGAGATAGCGAGATTCGTCACGAAGATAGGTATAGTTGAGGTTGGGACTGAAGAATATGTTCCTGAGGCCACCAAGGCAGTAGTGGTTGGAGAGAGGAGAGAGCGGGGGGAGCAGCGGATCTTCTCCCAAAAGGGATGAACAGTAAATTAACAGAAGAGTGGTATTTATTCCACGAGCGAGAATTGAGGAAGAAGGTGAAGAGGAGGAATTCTCAAGGAAGAGGAATAAATAAGAATAGAGAGTGATGATAGTTTCTTCCTAGAGTATGTACCTAAGACCTCAGGAACAACCTATCTACCTAATGGAATACCTGATCTGGACGTGGAGTAACTCTTTTCTTCCTTGCCAAGGTACCTTATTAATGACCAATCCGATAAAGGAGTGGCACTGGTCAGCGCTTCTAAAGTTGGACCGTTGCACGTGACCCTGGTCTGGACCCCTTACGTCTTTATGTTCCTGAAGACGAAGGAACAAAAAAAGTGACACTGGTGATGGAGATGATTGACGCTGTCTTACTCCGCTTACTGATGAAGCTTGCTGGATGACTCAAGCGTGGTCTTGCTACCGAGTCCGAGTTCGCATATGTCACTCACATTCTCCATGAGCTTCCCCCGTATCTTGCCCCGGTGGTTTACTCGTTGATAGTATGCCTTCTTCGTCTGTCCAGTATCCTTGTCGTTGATCATTAGTACGTTGGACCAGTCCGTTTAGAAAAGGGGCAAGCAAGCTATCAACGACCTCGACAAACTAGTGACCAAGTTGCACCATCGATGATTATTGCACAAGTCCAACTACTACTATCTTGTCTCAGTCATCCCCAATTATCCAAGGTCCAGTCTCCATCAGTACGCAGGGGCAAAAGTCTACTGCGTTGATGGTATCCACTGAGTATAAAATCTTCAATAATGCTCAATGTTATTCATGATAGGCGCTGTCAAAAATCAATAGTGCCGGAGGCCTGTACATTTTGGGCCTAAATGAGTCCAATGCTCCGCTATCATCGTGCTAATATTGCACTTCTATTCTGGGCTATTCTCTGATGCCTCTTTACTTGAGGTTTTTTGTTTTTTTGACTATTGACTCTCTTTCGTGCGCTAATTGGCTACAGAGCAAGGTTCTGTCTGGTTTATGATTTGAGAATTGGCTTGGCCTTTGGTTGACGGACCTCAACATCTCTGTGCTCCAGGCAGTGTCTGTCTAGTGCCGAGTACCGATGAATCAGCAGTTTGCGACTTCGCCTAGTCCCCGGTCCAATACTTCTCCAGCACAATCGGTAGATCTCTTCGTAAGCACCAAGATATTGTGATGTCGACCATGGCAGACGTTGCATGAGCATGTGGTGCACCTTGGCTCAACTGGCAAGAGTGAAAACCAGCATGATATAATTCGTCGTTCACTATTGAACCAGGTCTTGTATCCATTGACAATCTCCCCCACAAAAGCAAAGAAGCTCCATTATCGTCTTTCAATTACTTTTATTTTTTCCTTTGACTCGATCAATAACAATGACCTGTGCAATAGATCCATTGTATTGTTTATAGAAATTTCAATGCAACTGATACCCACTCTGGCGCTTGGGTCCGTTCAAAGCGCCAACAACGAATGCATAATGCATACAGCTTCTGAAGTGTATAATTGTCCATGCGTTGATAGATACTCGAAAGCCACTGTTTTAATGCTTATCCTCA